TATATTTTAACAAAACGCATTTGACTAGCAGGTCAAACAACGGATGTTCTTAAACCCTGCTGACTGCCATGGCGATTGCCAAATAAACGGATCACAGATGTAACAAAATGGATCTTAATTTTAATCTAATACCAAATAAAAAACAAAAAAACTTGCGGAAAAGATGGTATACCGCAAACATGAGGTGCAAAAATTTGTACACCATATCCGGATTTCGACAATTAATGTCTCTTCAGTGATGTTAGGAATCGAAACGGTATTTGGAAGGCCATATAATTTACCTCAATTTGGGATTGACTCTTGAATTTTGAAGAGTCGAAATAGGATGAACGGATCATATAAACCCGAAGGCAAATATAATACAAGCCCAAACGAAAAAATATAAACAAGTCTAAATTGAAAACAACGTTCAATCCTATGATTGCGTTGGATAAAACCCGCAATTTTTATACGTGTGCATGCAAAACAAATTTCATGGTAGAGGGGTCTAAATACAGCACAAACAACATTTTCCAAAAGACCAAAAAGTGAAAAAGTATATTTTAACAAAACACATTTGACTAGCAGGTCGAACAACGGATGTTCTTAAACCCTGCTGACTGCCATGGCGATTGCCAAATAAACGGATCTCAGATGTAACAAAATGGATCTTAATTTTAATCTAATACCAAATAGAAAACAAAAAACTTGCGGAAAAGATGGTATACCGCAAACATGAGGTGCAAAAATTTGTACACCATATCCGGATTTCGACAATTAATGTCTCTTCAGTGATGTTAGGAATCGAAACGGTATTTGGAAGGCCATATAATTTACCTCAATTTGGGATTGACTTTTGAATTTTGAAGAGTCGAAATAGGATGAACGGATCATATAAACCCGAAGGCAAATATAATACAAGCCCAAACGAAAAAATATAAACAAGTCTAAATTGAAAACAACGTTCAATCCTATGATTGCGTTGGATAAAAACCGCAATTTTTATACGTGTGCATGCAAAACAAATTTCTTGGTAGAGGGGTCTAAATACAGCACAAACAACATTTTCCAAAAGACCAAAAAGTGAAAAAGTATATTTTAACAAAACGCATTTGACTAGCAGGTCAAACAACGGATGTTCTTAAACCCTGCTGACTGCCATGGCGATTGCCAAATAAACGGATCACAGATGTAACAAAATGGATCTTAATTTTAATCTAATTCCAAATAAAAAACAAAAAAACTTGCGGAAAAGATGGTATACCGCAAACATGAGGTGCAAAAATTTGTACACCATATCCGGATTTCGACAATTAATGTCTCTTCAGTGATGTTAGGAATCGAAACGGTATTTGGAAGGCCATATAATTTACCTCAATTTGGGATTGACTCTTGAATTTTGAAGAGTCGAAATAGGATGAACGGATCATATAAACCCGAAGGCAAATATAATACAAGCCCAAACGAAAAAATATAAACAAGTCTAAATTGAAAACAACGTTCAATCCTATGATTGCGTTGGATAAAACCCGCAATTTTTATACGTGTGCATGCAAAACAAATTTCATGGTAGAGGGGTCTAAATACAGCACAAACAACATTTTCCAAAAGACCAAAAAGTGAAAAAGTATATTTTAACAAAACACATTTGACTAGCAGGTCGAACAACGGATGTTCTTAAACCCTGCTGACTGCCATGGCGATTGCCAAATAAACGGATCTCAGATGTAACAAAATGGATCTTAATTTTAATCTAATACCAAATAGAAAACAAAAAACTTGCGGAAAAGATGGTATACCGCAAACATGAGGTGCAAAAATTTGTACACCATATCCGGATTTCGACAATTAATGTCTCTTCAGTGATGTTAGGAATCGAAACGGTATTTGGAAGGCCATATAATTTACCTCAATTTGGGATTGACTTTTGAATTTTGAAGAGTCGAAATAGGATGAACGGATCATATAAACCCGAAGGCAAATATAATACAAGCCCAAACGAAAAAATATAAACAAGTCTAAATTGAAAACAACGTTCAATCCTATGATTGCGTTGGATAAAAACCGCAATTTTTATACGTGTGCATGCAAAACAAATTTCTTGGTAGAGGGGTCTAAATACAGCACAAACAACATTTTCCAAAAGACCAAAAAGTGAAAAAGTATATTTTAACAAAACGCATTTGACTAGCAGGTCAAACAACGGATGTTCTTAAACCCTGCTGACTGCCATGGCGATTGCCAAATAAACGGATCACAGATGTAACAAAATGGATCTTAATTTTAATCTAATACCAAATAGAAAACAAAAAACTTGCGGAAAAGATGGTATACCGCAAACATGAGGTGCAAAAATTTGTACACCATATCCGGATTTCGACAATTAATGTCTCTTCAGTGATGTTAGGAATCGAAACGGTATTTGGAAGGCCATATAATTTACCTCAATTTGGGATTGACTCTTGAATTTTGAAGAGTCGAAATAGGATGAACGGATCATATAAACCCGAAGGCAAATATAATACAAGCCCAAACGAAAAAATATAAACAAGTCTAAATTGAAAACAACGTTCAATCCTATGATTGCGTTGGATAAAAACCGCAATTTTTATACGTGTGCATGCAAAACAAATTTCTTGGTAGAGGGGTCTATATATATATATACAATGTATATCACGTTTAAGATAAAAATAAAACAAGGTGATCAAAGGAAGTAATTTCTGGTTGGATTAAAAAAAAAATATCATGTAATAAATTCAGGTTTTCGTTAAAAAAAAATTTATAGACTTGATATCATGTTCACATTACTTTATGTATATAAAAAATACTAGAACTTTCAACCATTATTCAAATATCTTAAATGCTATTCATTTTTTTTTATCAAAATATATATAAAATAGTATATAAAGCAACTTAATAAATGTTAAAATTGACACCTTTGTTTTGTGAAACCAAGAATTTAATATAATAATAATAATAACTTCCATAGTAATCCTTAACAACCTTTTCAAATAGGAAATGTATTCCAAAGTTGCAGTAGAAATTTGTTTTGATTAAATTTAAATATGTTTTGTTAAAATTAAAGAATGACATACAAGAAGCTTTTTAATAAGGTTTAATTACCTTAGTACAGGTGTGTTTTACAGGTAAAAAGAAAACCCTATCTTTCTTAAACTCGTGTATTACTTATCTAGTGAATTCAAAAGGCCTTGTGATTTAAGTTTTACAGGATGTTGTAATTTTCAATGGATGTTATTTAAAATTTATTACTCTCTGACCAGGTATGATCTTTTTAATGAGTGTGCCACAAAGAGGATGTGTTACTTTATAGTTTACCCTTAATCAGAAGAAAAAAAATATTTATTTCTTTAATTTTTTATCCCTTTTTAAAATATATATATATATATTCCAAATTATAAATACGAATAGATATATTTCTGATATAAGGTTAAACAATGTCAGTGATTTGGTTGGCTGTTGTTACCTCAAAAAAAAGATAGTTATATAACTATTGTATGTAACCATGAAACCTATGTAGTTTTTATTTAGGAATTTAGGAAAATCAAGTTTTGTTTAAATAAAAAAAACATAAACACATGCCAAACAAAAAGCACCTTAATAAGGTTTTATTACCCTCAGTATAGGTGTGGTTTTCAGGTAAAAGAGAGTCTTTTTATTTAACAATACTCAGACTTTAAAATTAGATAATTTAACTATCTCGATTTGATAAATCTGAGAATCATGTAAGGATGTAAAAATCTGTGTTTATATATATCTTGTTTTATTGCGGCTGTTGTCATGTCAGTTAAAAAGAAAGTTATTTTAACAATCAAAATTATAAAAAGTAAAGGTTATTTGGTCACGTATGGTTCAGACTGGTCGAGTATTGTTCAGACCTTTGGTAGAGTATGGTTTAGACTGAAAAAAATAGGTCAAGAGCTGGTCAAGTATTGGTCGAGTACAGGTCGTGAATGGGTTAAGACTGTTTCGGACTGGTCGAGTAATAGTTCAGACTATTTTCAATAACAAAGATAAGGGTCAAGTACAAATCAGTACAGTCCGAGTATGGTTAAGACTGGGTCGAGTAATATTAAGTAAAATTCAGACCAATTCAGACTGATCGAGTAAAAATCATTACAGTCGAGTACAGATATAGGCCATTTCAGACTTTTACTGGTTTGTAGTGTAATTTAACCGAATGTGTCTGCTATTTCGAATGATTGTGGATTCGCATGGCTGATAATACAAGCACAGCAGGAGACACTTAACCTCGATACATTTGGTCCTTTTTGAGTTCATGCGATTTCTTCAGTTTTTGTTTTTTAGATCAATTTGTCTCTTCATAATCGATTGAGGAGATTGGAATATCGGTACTTCTGTCCCCTGAATTTATCCATAATTTATAGCGGATTTTAGCATAATTTACTTTGGCCGGAGCCCCTGATCCAGATATTTTGGTTACCAGGATTCAATGTAACCCTTGGTATCGTTTGGTTACAAAGCATTTTGGATCTTAAGATTTTTCTAAAGCTCTTTATATCCAAGAAATTCACAAAATCATCGTACTTTGACAAAACCCCAGAATGTGCTGACTTTAGAGCCTATAATATACCATTGTGAAGAGATTTGTATTATTTAACATATATAACGGCTTTCAAAAAAATAAATACTGTTATGATTTCATGATTACGTAAATGAAAATATTTCTTGGTTCTGTTCAATTTTTTTAGTACTTTTTATGAAAAACTCTGGTTGTGATTTGCAGTTCTATGTGTACATAACTGTATAATCTTTATTGAAGGGAAATATTATCTTGCGTAAATAAACTCATCCTAGATATCAGGATAAAAATGTTGTACACCAGACTCGCGTTTCGTCTACAAAAGACTCATCAAAGACGCTCGAATTAAAAATGTTAAAAAGGCCAAAAAAAGTACGAGCATTGAGGACCCGACATTCCGTAAGGTTTTACCCAATACAGCTAAGGTAATCTATTCCTGTAATTGTGAGCTTATACATACCTCCTAAATTTGTCAAAGTTTTACCTATTCCACATCTTTCTTTTGTTGAACATAGACACGGGTCGCCAAAGTAACACAAATCGGTACGGCACTTACACCCTGGAAGACTGTCACAGAAAGCATTTTGATGTTTATTTTTGCTATACGTTATATCTGTAATGAAAGTACAAGACATTAGATTTAAAACTGAAGCTATATTAAAACTGTTGTGGTCGAATGTAGCTATTATGATATAAGCGACAGCCAAATAGTCGCATCCGAAAAAAAAGTATAACAAGTCTTTACATCATTAATGTGTTTATACTGCAATTCAAAACAATTCTATACCTAATTTGTGTTATCGTTTTTTAAAATAGTTTTAAAACTGCTACTAAAGGTTCCCCCTAGAAAAGGCCTCTTCTTCGTTGATGTTTATATCATGACATTGTGATATCTTTATATCTTAGTTGTTTGAAGAATTTAGTGTTGATGGCAGATTTTCTTTAAATAGTCTCTGCTATAAAGACGTGTGGCGTAGGTTAACGTATTGTTTAGACTTTCTACGGTTGAATTGATACGTAACGCCATACTTTAAACCTCACAATGATTGCTAATATCAATAAAAGACATACATGCATGGTAGTTTGACTGTTTAATTCTGTCTGCCGATATCGAAAATGGTTGCTGGTATAAAAATCTTAAATATTTTGAAAAATTTTGAAACTTGTGTTATCTGAAATCGGTATATTAGTTTTAAGTTGATGTTCGCATTGATTGTTTAGTTATTTTTCTCTCAGTACTGATTTCAGATCTTCCTTGTATAACATGTGATACTACAGTTGTGTCATTGTTGTTGACCTTAATCTTGACGTAGTATTGATGATACAGATACTCACACTATCCCTGTACAATTGTCACCAGATTTACAGTATTTTTGAACTTAGAACAAAAGCGTTACTATAAATGAAACGGGTGATGATTCTACGAATTACACCTTTAATGGTTCGTTTTCTAGCACGTGCACGTTTCATGTGTTTTCTGTGTAATATTTACATAAGGATACCTGAATGAATACCCTTTGTCTTCTAACGATAATTTCCCCGTACGATTTGATTTTATGTATCAACATTCTTAAAGAGTTTTAAGTCTGGAAAGCTAAGGATGTAAGGATACTCATTTGCTAATATCTGTATATTTGCCTTATTCACCGTGTTATGTCTGAATATTTTGCTCACGTACCATGAATGTTTCTGTCCAGTATAGTTTGCTTTTTTCTCTTCATTTTTGTGTTTGTTTAGAGTGCTACTGTTCTTTGTACTTTTTTCTACATAGAAACTCTGCTTACGTACCGTGAGCTAAACATTCAGAGGTAGCTATAGGTTTAAAACATGAAGTTTCATGTATCCGCCCTGAAGAAGACAGAAGATCAGGCTGAACATATCCTTTCTTGCATCTTCGACATTTATCCTCTTGAAAGTTCTTCTCACATGGCAAAATTTCATGATCTGTAACAAATAAAAACAATACTTTACAAATTACATGCGTCCGAATCGCTTTTCTGGATTTAACTTCATCAGGAATGCTCAGTGTCGAATATTTGAAAGCCATGATGCATTTTGTTTTTCATGGATGGAAAGAATAAGTATTACCTTGCTTTAGTATTGTGCAGTTGGAAACGATAATAAAAAAATCTAAAAATAAAATAAGTGTTTTCCTTATACATGTCATAAAGTACATATGTCTTTCATTTCCACTAGATCAGCTTTATTCTCTGACACGTTAGTCCCAACATCTGTTATGAATATACACTGTACCATTAGATTAATCATTGAAAAAGGAAAACAATACTCTATAAATTGCCTGTGTACGAAGCGGACCTCTTGATCCACCTTCATGAGGACCATTCAAAGCCGAACACACGAAAGTTTAGGATGTTTAAGAACCAAACCAGTTGAAGAGCTATATGACCAAAAAGGGACCTAAAAAACGCCAAATCCATCAAAAGCCAACTTTGCCCGAGGGTGCTGAAACCTTAGTTTCTTTATGATTTCTAATTTTATAAACAAACGTTTAAATGAATTAAAGGATACTTACTTTTTGTGCATACAGAAACATTCATGAAGTATGCTCATGATGAAAATGATGAAAAGTTTTGGAAAGTCAACCAGATAAAACATTATAAAAATAACCCCCAAATAGTCTTTATAGAACAATTAACTTAAAACCGTCGAAGGGTCATCTTTGACTGAGGAAGCTACAACCTTAGTTATAACATGGAAATATTATATTGACAATATAGAATATAATGCTTCCATGGTTATAATGAAATAAGGTAAATTATGAACTCGAAATTTACGTATCATTTAAATAATATCAATACCGAATCATTTGATACCCTCTGTGACTGTTAATCCTTAACCACAGGTTCCGGCTATAAAAGTAAAAAATAAAACAACAAAAAACATGAAACTGATTTTAAGTTCTCTAAAGGCTACACCTGTAGTTTTTTTCATGTCTTCGAATTGATAATAAAAAGAAATTGCTTTTAAAAGAAGATGCTGAACAAAACCAAGAAGTTGGAAACTTCTGAGAATATGCAAGAAACGGGCAAACAAGACAAAAAGACCCCGCAAGATGGTCTAAGGCAAGAAACGGGCAAACAAGAAAAAAAGACCCTGCAAGATGGTCTAAGGCAAGAAACGGGCAAACAAGACAAAAAGACCCTGCAAGATGGTGTAAGGCAAGAAACGGGCAAACAAGACAAAAAGACCCTGCAAGATGGTCTAAGGCAAGAAACGGGCAAACAAGACAAAAAGACCCTGCAAGATGGTCTAAGGCAAGAAACGGGCAAACAAGACAAAAAGACCCTGCAAGATGGTCTAAGGCAAGAGACGGGCAAACAAGACAAAAAGACCCTACAAGATGGTCTAAGGCAAGAAACGGGAAAACAAGACAAAAAGACCCTACAAGATGGTCTAAGGCAAGAAACGGACAAACAAGACAAAAAGACCCTACAAGATGGTCTCAGGCAAGAAACGGGCAAACAAGACAAAAAGATCCTACGAGATGGTCTAAGGCAAGAAACGGGCAAACAAGACAAAAAGACCCTACTAGATGGTCTAAGGCAAGAAACGGACAAACAAGACAAAAAGACCCTACAAGATGGTCTCAGGCAAGAAACGGGCAAACAAGACAAAAAGACCCTGCAAGATGGTCTAAGGCAAGAAACGGGCAAACAAGACAAAAAGACCCTGCAAGATGGTCTAAGGAATTTAATCTATTGTGTTCATCTGGAGATTTCAAATAAGGGTCAACGTTTGAAATAATTTATTGATATGAAATGCCTAAACGATCATCAGCGGGCTTGCATGTTTATTTCAATACAGTTTTTTGTTACTGATTTTTGATTGTCCTGAAGTTTTCCTATATATATAATTGTCTTCATTGTAGGCGTCATAGAAATATGAAACAGGATTAAGACAAATTGGAAATTGATATAAACTTACCAGGAGGGCAGTCATAGTACGGCAAACATTTCCGGTTTAACTTCTTGTAATATATATAATCCAAATAAACCTGAAAATAAACAAAGATCTAACTATATCTTACCATTTTAGCTTAGTAAAAATTAACATTTCGTCAGGAGATCGTTGGATAAAACCTCGTCAGTTAAGAGTTTGTGCCTTATCCATTGTCTTTTGTCTTTTTTGACAATCAAATATGTTTAAAGTAGTATATAGTTCGCCTTTCCTAGTGAAATTTTGAAAAACCTGATGTAAATGGATTTCTATTATTTTATTTTCGAGACCGAAATGTAAATAAGCTACAGTGTTTGCATTTAATTGTTCATTTTATAAATATTTAGAAAACGACTTTTCATTAGTGTTATTGAAGATTGTTGAAAAATGTTTACGATAAAAAAGATTTGTGAATTTATTTTTCAAAACAATATAAGTTAAAATCATTGAAATCTTTACCCCAAATAATATTTTATTGCATAAAAAGTAAAATAACAAAAATACCGAACTCCAAGGAAAATTCAAAACGGAAAGTCCTTTATCAAATGCCAAACCAAAGGCTCAAACACATCAAACGAATAGAAAACAACTGTCATATATAATAAAAAGAAATTGCTTTAAAAAAACTTCCATACAATAATTGAAACCAGTCATTGTAACTAAAGAGTACCACGTAAAATTCATTTCTTAAACATAACTGCTGCTTCAATTTCAGTCTAGAAAATTACACATATTTTCTATGCAATATCTTTCTTTATTTTAACTGTTTGATTGTCAATCCGAAATAAACAACAGAGAAAAATATTAAAAAAAAAATAAAGAATAGAGAAAAATAGCCAAAATTTAAAGAAAAGAGAAAAAGAGGCCAAAAAAAAAAAAATAAGATTAGAAAATAGTGGGATGCTAAAATAGTAAAAATAGAGAAAATATATAAAATAGAGAACAATGGACAAAAGTTATAAAGAAAAGAGAAAAAAAGACTTACAAAATTAAAGAAGTCAGATTCCCCATTTAGACCCTCCTATATGAGAACATTGAAACATTAGATATTGGTGAATACCTTACAATCATTCCATACACCAAAAATAGTTGACCTATTGCTTATAGTTTTAGAAAAACAGACCAAAACACAAAAACTTAACTTTAACCACTGAACCAGGAAAATGAGGTCAAGGTCAGATGAACCATGCCAGACAGACATGTACGCATTCCAATCAATCTATGCATTAAATATAGTTGACCTATTGTTTACAGTATATAAGAAACAAACTTAACCATTAAAACTTAACATTGACCACTGAACCATAAAAATGAGGTCAAGGTCAGATGATACCTGCCAGACAGACATATACACTTTACAATCATTCCATACACCAAATATAGTTGACCTATTGCTTATAGTATCTAAGAAACCAACTAAACCATGAAAACTAAACATTGACCAATTAACCATGAAAATGACGTCAAGGTCAGATGATACCTGCCAGACAGACATATACACCTTACAATCATTTACACCAAATATAGTTGACCTATTGCTTATAGTTTTAGAAAAACAGACCAAAACACAAAAACTTAACTTTAACCACTGAACCAGGAAAATGATGTCAAGGACACATGACACATGACAGTTGGACATGTACACCTTACAATCATTCCATACACCAAATATAGTAACCTATTGCTTATAGTATCTAATATATGGACTTGACCTCGAAAACTTAACCTTGTTCACTGATCCATGAAATGAGGTCGAGGTCAGTTGAAAACTGTCTGACAGGCATGAGGACCTTCCAAGGTACGCATATAATAAATACAGTTATCCTATTACTCATACTAAGAGAGAAATTACCATTACAAAAAATCTGAATTTTTTTTTCAAGTAGTCACGAAACCATGAAAATGAGGTCAAGGACCATGGACATATGACAGACTGAAACTTCATAACATAAGGCATCTATATACAAAGTATGAAGCATCCAGGTCTTCTACCTTCTAAAATATAAAGCTTTTAAGTAGTTAGTTAACGCCGCCGTCGGATCACTATCCCTATGTCGAGCTTTCTGCGACAGAAGTCGCAGGCTCGACAAAAACCAAACAAACGACAAAAGCAATAATGATAAAATAATAATAATAAAATCAAAACAAAAAGCAATAACTTACCTAGCTGTGTTTCTTATTTGAAGCTATTACAAATGATTAAATAATATTCAACAATGTATGTATGTTAGTTAATCTTATCCTAAAATCTAAATAAAGTAGAAACCGAAAGGTTCCAATTATCATTGTATATTGTTAACGAGGACCGAGACGGCAATACTCTATGGAACTCTGGAATTAACATTAAGTTTAACATAACTGTAGAAATAAACGCAAAGAATTATTTGTTATTAGTACAACAGCGACCGATAGCAGGATACAAAATATGACAATGTTTCCTTATAAGTACTTGATTACAGTACTTTTAGACAATATTATACTTGTAGTTCTAAGGTCGTGATAATCTTCCATATTAATCTATTTTATCAAGATTAAGCAATATGTATTACCATATTATTATCGTATCACTCACTGTTAATAGCATGTAAAGAAGACTGAAACAATGACTAATATGGAAACGAAAGCATAAAAGAAAACGAAACTTTCCTGTTTACATGGAAACGCCTGGTTAAATTGTTCTTCCCGTTTTGACCACACGATAGAGAAGTTCAACAAGTAGGTATATATCATACCGATATGAAAATAAGGAGATGTGGTATGATTGACAATGAGACAACTATACCGTATGGTCGGCTATAAAAGGCCCCGATATGAAAAATATGAAACAATTCCATTGAGAAAACTAACGGCCTAATTTATAACAAACCAATTTACGAAAAACAAATATGACAAACATGAACCAACGACAACCACTGAACTACAAGCTCCTGACTTGGGACAGGCAAATAAAGAATATGGCGGGGTTAAACATGTTTGTGAGCGCTCAACCCTCCCCTAACCTGGGACAGTGGGGTAACAGTACAACATAAGAGCATAGATATAAGAAGATGTGGTATGAGTGCCAATGAGACAACTCTCCATCCAAGTCACAATTTGCAAAAGTAAACCATTATAGGTCAAAGTACGGTCTTTAACACGGAGCCTCGGCTCACACCGAACAGCAAGCTATAAAGGGCCTCAAAAATGACTAGTGTAAAACCATTCAAACAGGAAAACTATAAAAATTAGTTGAAAAACGCTTAACTCATCAGATGGATACAAACAGAAATACATCTACCAAAACACAGAGTGGACGTGGACGGGTACTTGTTCATCCCAAAAACGATAAGACACTAAGTACAGATCTAAGAGTACTCGCAGTTGCTGACTGCTAGTTCAAAAGCAATAACAACTAATGAAAAAAAATATGTATCTAAGACTAAAATATAAATCAGTACACATCCAACATCCAATGGATTTAGTGTAAAGACGTCATTAACAGTCAGAGAAAAACATGACCTTGTGCAATGCCAAACTATAAGTATCGACAGATTGTAGTACCATGAAAGTACATATGTGTAATATTTAGTAAGGTTTGACACTGTTTACAATCTTGATCTTTATATTTCATTCAATAAAGGAAAGGCTTAAAACATCTCACATATCCACGTTTGGAGAATTCCCAGTTACTATATTCATGCGTAATCTGCATTCCGCACCCCCTGTAAAAAATTCTTGCCAATTTTTATGATTTTCCCTTTATAGTCTATGTATTTTTGGCATATCGTGTTGCTAATTTCAATAGCTCGTATCTCAAAAACGAAATCGGTTACCTCCTTTTTAAATTTTAATTTCTGGTGTATTTTTACAAGCAGAATCTATATGTGAAATTCTGTGGAGTAGTTAATTACGTACACTTTGCCTTAAATAAAAAAAAATACACCAAGAGATATTATTGATGTTAAATAGTTACATGCATTTCCTGTTTAACTGCTACAAAGAGTTAAGCAAGTTTTATATCCGTGCACAAGCTAAAATCAAGATGAACAAAAAAACAAACAAAAATCCTTCAATGAAACAGCAAGAATATTTGGAATTAGAATATCCTGCCCTCTAGACAGATTTTAGTGTATGCTTGTCTTGAAAAAGGCGTTTATGTTAGCTGTTAAAACAAAAGGCAGCAATTCTGCGAATTGATATCTGTACATTTGCAAGTGTATTGCATATAAGGAGGGATATTATGAAAACATTGGGCTTTTTGAAATATTAATAGCTAACTTACCTCAGATTTTCATTACTAAGTTATCACAAGTACCTGAGATTGAATGCACCTTTTTGGTTAGTTGATAAACAATCATATTGACACATGGTTTAAATATTTAAAGATTTTGTGATGAAGGACGATTTGAGGGAAAACAGATCGCTAAGTTTCAACAAAAAGGCCCCGAAAATGGCGTTTAATTTCAATTTCAAACACTTCAAACCAATTTTACACAAAACTCATGTAGCCTCCAGTTCTAATCGAATCGTTTGCTACATAACGAATACAAAAATAAGAAGATGTGGTATGATTACCAATGAGACAACTCTCCACAAGAGACCAAATAACATAGAGGTTAACAACTATAGGTCACCGTACGGCCTTCAACAATGAGCAAAACCCAAACCGCATAGTCAGCTACCTATAGGCCCCGAAATGACAAATGTAAAACAATCCAAACGAGAAAACTGACGGCTTGTTTATGTACAATACAATGAACGAAAAATAAATTTGATATACATTGTATATCAACAAACGACAGCCACTGAAATACAGGCTCCTGACTTGGGACAGGCACTTATAGAATAAAGTCCTTATTATAGAATATGGTAATTCTGTTTTCATCTATATTTTCTGCATTTCCATGGTTTACAAATACGTTTTTTTATGAATTTAGCATCAATAACGTCCTAGCGGAGAACGTGACAAACATTAAAGAGTTTCAATTTCTTACGAGTTTGCAGGAGATTTATTTTTATAAGCCGCTAAATTTTTCAAGTGGAAGAGAATGCTCAGTGAAATAATTTTTTCGAATTTCAGGTGCCAATTAGTTACTTTTATTAAGCCGCCTTAAAAATAAACCGTCCGTTTAGATGTGAGGGATGTATAAATATGCAGTTACGTCCGGTCGGAATGGGGGACGTTACAACCGATGCATCGAACTGAATAGTGCCAAGCTCTCTTCACGTTAAAAAATTCTGGGGGTTGCCTGTTCCAAATAAAGTTTCTATCCTTGTCCAACATGCCATCATTTCCTGTATTCAGGTGAACCTACCTTGCAGAACCTACCTATTGTAATAATTGTTAATTTGGTCTCGCCCTGAATATAGATGAACTATTTGACACTGAACACAATCGATGCTCACGTACACGTTATATATTACAAGCGATAAATGGTATATCTGTGTATGAATAGAAACACTTTAGTCAACTAAATTTACTTACAAAATGTACGCTAATAGTTTTTTTTGACAAATTTGGTTATGAGTAATGTATTTATGTATTTATTTGTGTAATGCATGATATATGAATACTTACAGAACCAATACAACTATAGATCATCGTTAAATATATTATAAGCATGGTATCCACTCCTACAAAAATAAATAAAATAATTATTATTACACTTGAATGATACGATAAGATGTGCCAAACACAATGTATAACAAATATTTGAAACAACTAAACTTGCGAGTAAGTAACTAAGGCTTACTAATGAGTACTCAAAATAACATAAACATATCATTCCCGTATATATATATATAAAAGTAAGAAAAAAAGTTCACATGCACAGAATTATATATTTATGAAAAAAAAAACCAATAGAAAGTGCGTTAAAACATTGTCAGTTGTCTAGAGGCTTTCATCCATCTGAAGGGACTTTTCAAGACTAAGGCTTTGTTGTTGGTATACATATATATCGTAAAGTTGTCACATATTTAGCCGTATAATAATCAAATTAAAAATATGACGGCATGGTAAGTAAAATTATCATCCTTATTGTGAAAATCCATGTATGGTACCAGCGGGATTCGAACCCTCAATCTCGAGATCTAAAAACAGCGCTCTTACCAATTGAGAAAAAGAAGATCTTCCCTAACTCAACCAGTTAGACTACCTTTAAATCTCCAAGTCGTCAACACCCTTTACGGCAGACAAAAAACAGCTGATCTGCAAGGTATACCATCTACTTGCCCCCTATACATCATGTAATGTGTTACAACTCTAAATAAAGCCAACAAAGAAAGGCATTACTCGACTAACGAAAGCTATATTTTATAGCCTAGTTGGTCGAGTAGTCTAGGGTGTTGGAAACAGTATAGGCGATGTCTCAGATGCAGGGGTTCGAGTCCTGCTGAGAGGAGAACAAGCAAATTTGCATATCTAACACTGTTGGGCTAAATTCATATATAACCAGAACACACCCGCGACATCGCGGGTCCGTGACTCAATTAAAGTACCTACGCCTTATTTATAGCCTGAATTTTTAGTATTCGTATTGTCATCTGATAAAGTCATGCTAAATTAATTATAAGGTGCACAGTTTTCTCTGCTTTCAAAATCTTTCTGTTTGAACCCGTCCTGGTTTTCTTTCTACAACCGGAAACTACATGTGACATATGTCAGGGATTAAACCGAAATTCTATATATATATATATATATATCATATACTTATAGAAAATAATGGTATAATTGTACCCTTTGATAAAACTAATTTGTAAATATATTTATTCATTAAATTTGAAGAATTATCTTTCGTTATCAACTGCTTCCGGTATATATCAACTGCTTCCGGTTTATATCAACTCCTTCCGGTTAATATCGCATGCCTTCAAGTTTCTTTAACGTTATCGTAAAGCATTTCGGCGTCATTCTGCAAACTCCGGAAAATAAACCTCAGTGGTACATTTTAGTGTTACTAAATAGTGTAAAAAACGAATAGTAGGAAACAGGAAAAATATATTATTAAAAAATGCAAAACAAATAATAGATTAAATGAATTTTATAAAGTTTTAAAAAAGTGTTCTTGTCTATATGGCTTCTGCTGAAGTGTATGATAAAAAGAACATAACATGTCATTTTTCAAATCAGACCCTCTATCAGCTCATGGTCAAAATCATCCCTCGAGCCTGTCGGCCTTCGGGCTGATATCATGACCTAGGACTGATAAGGGGTCTGATATGAAAAATGCCATGTTATAATGATCTATATATATGCATTATGTAAATAATTCACTTGCACTTATAGGTGTAAATAGTATTCAATTACGGTTTTTATATTTCTGTATATTTTTAGGACAATAACATTTTATGAAGGAATGTATACACCCTTTTTGTTTTTAATTCTTAATTTTTTTGATTTTTGAATATTAAGAAGTATGAAAATTAAGGGCCTTTAATACCGTGTAACACGGGTGCTCCGATAACGGAGGAATTTAAGTGAAGAAGAAGACATATACTATTGGTATCGGTATCAGATTCGACCAGGAACTTGTTAATTATTGGTAATATCAATTAAATGGACAACAAAAGGACCTGGAATGGTGTAATTTTAAACAACACCATTATCCTATATTAGTTATATAAAAAGTTTAATTCTTTGATTCGTCGTTTTACGTCATATCGACTAACAAATTGGACCTCGTTATTTTAGTAGTATAATTATTTGCCGCTAAATGTTGAAAAACAGCAGCACAACACAACAAGCAAGGAATGGATGTTGTGTTTTATCTACATCAAATGAAGGTTGCATAATTATTATGAAAATAACACCAATTTGGTGAGTACAAAGCGTTTCTCTAAATTTCCCTTAAGTAATCAGGAATGCTGAAACCCAAAAATCGAAAAGACAATATACCTGAACACGAAGAGAGCTATGTGACCACAGTTGACCAAAAAGAATAGTCAAATCAATCTAATGTCAACCATGTCCAAGGGAGTTGGAATCTTCTTTTATTTATATCTAAATTTATCAACGAATAATATATATGGTTTCGTGATGTTAATATATAAACAAATGTCAATGGCAACAAAAACCAATAAAGTATTAAACTTATGCAGTTGGTATTACTTCACAATGTGAAAGAACTAATAATTTTGGAAAAATTTGTTGAATGCAGGAAAAAAATAAGTAGTTTTTATTCCTTACTTTAGTATATAACTATTGTCATTCTCTGCCATTTATATGTTACAATTGAGAATGGAAATGGGGAATGTGTCAAAGAGACAACAAACCGACCAAAGAGCATTAAACAGCCCAAGGCCACCAATGGGACTTCAACACAGCGAGAAAATCCCGCATCCGGAGGCTGGCTTCAGCTGGCCCCTAAACAAAAATATGTACTTGTTCAGTGAAAATGGACGTCAAACTAAACTCCGAAACATGTAAATGAACTAAAATAAAAAGAAAAAAACATACAAGACTAACAAAAGCCAGAGGCTCCTGCAAACATGCGGCGGGGTTAAACATGTTTTGTGAGATCTCAACCCTCCCTTATATCTCTAACCGATGTAGAAAAACAAACATACAGCAAAACACACAGTAAAACTCAGTTTAAAAGAAGTCCTTGTCCGATGTCAGAATAGGTAACAGATGAAACTTAGCAAAATGACAATGATACATACTTTAACAAAGGACTACTAGCAGTTACTGAAATGCCAGCTCCAGACCTCAATTAAACTGATTGAAAGATTATGTCTTCATCATATGAAAATCAAGCACAATCCCTCCCGTTAGGGGTTTAGTATCATACCATCATAAAATATATGAGAAGAACATAACCCGTATCATGCCAACAACTGGTTTTAGAATATTTTTTTTTTATTTCCGATGCAAAGACCTTATAAGTGAATCAATATTAATTCCAAAATATGCCATCGCTAATGACCTGACAACAGTATCGTATCTATATCCCTTCTGAATATGTCTGTTTAAAGATTTGGTTAGCTTTTGAGTTGAATGACGACATTTTTGTGCTTTGTATAGAATATTACCATAAAAGATTGGATTGAAATACCTGAACGTATAAGATATCTGCATGTTGATTTATATTTACGAATGATGTCCTTGTATCGATGATAAAATTTAGTAACTGTTGTGACTAGTTGTTGATATCGAAAACCCTGGTGTAATAATTTTTCAGTAATACACAGATTTCTTTCGTTAAATCAAATACGTTGTTACATACACGAGCGAATCGTACAAGCTGAGATATATAAACACCATAAGATGGCGACAAGGGGAAACAAATGGATAATTAACAATAGGAAGTGAAAAATCATCTCTTTTATCGTACATTTTGGTATTAAGCTTCCCGTTAAAGATATAGATATCAAGATCCAGGTAAGGGCAGTGTTCATTGTTAGTATAAGCTTTATTTAAAGTCAGTTCAGCAGGATAAATCACTTTAGTGTACATACTGAAGTCGTCACTATTGAGAGCCAATATATCATCCAAATATCTAAGATCGTTATTAAATTTTGGTATCAGATGTTGTTTGGATGGGTCTTTGCTGATTTTAGTCATAAATTGTAACTCATAACAATACAGAAACAGGTCCGCAAAAAGTGGTGCACAGTTAATCCCCATCTCCATAGCAAACAAAAATGTCATCTAGTAAAAATTCAAGGGCAGTTAGGAGGTCCAATTGGCATAGTTCTTTTGTTAGTTGTTACTAAAAAATGACCTAAAAGAGTTTGAACATATATATTCGCATTCTGTAATAGTTAATCACCGAGGGATAGGTGTGTCGGGATAAGACACCCCGACGGCCGGAGGCCGGAGGGGTTTCTTATCCAGACACGCCGTATCCCGAGGTGTATAACTAACTTACACCCCATGCTGAACCCTGTATTTCTTAACATTGATTACTAAATGAAAAAGAATGGATATCTTATTTATTTACAATATGAAACCATGATTTATAAGAATTTTATTTTACATGAAACCCCACTAGTAACCTTACTTTGGCTATCTTCGTTCAAACTTTGACAAGTGAGTAGGTTTTACAAATGTCAAAGTTGCTGTTTTGCATATTCCCGTTAAATCCTTGTGTTAATATGGATCAGAAGGTCCAGGTTGACCGTTTTGTGCATTCTTATTACAAAAAAAAATACATCATGCTCCTTGTATGCAGTTGTGAATATGGACGGGTATAAGACGGACGACATTTTGAGTCAAGTGTTTGATTTAGTAGACATGGTAGAAGAGACTAAAGATAAAGGCAATATTATAACTCAAAGTACTTACCTGTATCAGTTTAATGAAGGTAATCATAAATGTATTTTGTATGTTACGGTTTTATAACCCCCCCTCTATTCTCAAGTGTAAATAAACATTCATATTCGGACATACTGAGGATAGGTGTGTCTGGATTAGAAATCTGAGAACCGGACACGCTCAACATACAAAAAGACAGATTGAATATTTAGGAACTCCCTTTTTTGTGGGGCAATCCAAGGATGGAGGTCCGGGAGTTAGAATCTCTGTTTATTTAAAGATCAATGCTTAAGAATAGAGACAAATGACCGGGATCAGTGGCGGATCTAGGGGGGGGGGGGGGGGGGGGAGTTGGTCCGGGGGTTGGAACCTCCCT